TACAGTTGAATCATGGGTTACACATTTGTTATTACTTACAAGTCTTCACTGCCCTCTACTGGCAAAAAATAATAATATATCTAGTTAAGAAATAAAAAAATAAATACTTTTAACATGATTCTGATTAAATAAAATTAAAAATAATTATATTCTCTTTATTTAATAGCATACTAAAACTACAACTAATCTAAAATGGGAATATAACTAAATTAGACAAAAGGTATAATAAATAAACTGAAACCATCAGAAAGGTTACTAGTTACCAATTGGTTGCACTGGTTGTAATAATGTAAATAGTTTTTAACCTTGTACATATACAATATCTCAGCAGAGCAGGGGTAAGAGGGCTGATTTATGGCTGCTGTGTGTACTTGTAGATTTCCACCACAAGGTGTCGCCGGTGTCTTGTGGTAAATTAAAAAGTCCCCGGGCTGCCTGGCAAGGTTCCGTCTCAGGGAATAAGAGCTGCGTGCAAAAGTTTTTACGTTCATACAGTTATATAGGCATATTTTAATTCCTTGGCTACATTTGAACAAAAAAAAAAAAAGTAATTTTCATTCACAGAGTGTGTGTGTGTGTGTGTGTGTGTGTGTGTGTGTGTGTGTGTGTGTGTGTGTGTGTGTGTGTGTGGACTGGAGCTGTCCACAACCTCGCTCTGCTGAAATCTCTTCCGCTCCTGCAGCAGTGGCTCGTTTATGACTGACACACAGTGTGTTGGGACATTCTGAATTTTAAAAGCTAATATTGTAAACTTTCCCTTAAACAGCCAACGAATATATTGACTTTAATATTTAATTACGCTTCAAGACAGTGCCACTATTATTGCTCCATAGAGACCCAGTTGCGAGAAGTGATTTTATAGTTGTGATATTTATATTTGTGGTGTTCTTTAGATTTGTGTGTGTGTGTGTGTGTGTGTGTGTGTGTGTGTGTGTGTGTGTGTGTGTGTGTGTGTGTGTGTGTGTGTGTGTGTGTCTAACTTACGTATAATGTGTGTTTGGTATTACTTCTTATCTTAAGATTAACATCGGATAGATTTATTCCTGCAGATATCTCAGCTCAGTGCGCATACGTTGTGTTTGTGATTCCATATAGAGACAGTGTGGAATGTCTTCCTTAACACCAAAGTCAGGAGTCACAAGCTGCACATTAAGAATAAGAAAGCCTCTTTTCTTCCAGGTCTCTTGTAAAGGGGGTCGTGATGTGGTGCTCTCTGGCTCTTATTGGTTGAAGTGATTGCTGCCATGGTTGGAAATTAACATAAAAGAGGCAAGTGGCGAAGGGATCCACTTGGGGGCAAGCTGGCGATGCGTCATAGCTCTTGGTGAAAAGGGGAGACAAAAAAAAAAAAGGACTAAAATAGCGCCGAACCTCCGGGTTAATGTGCACCAATGGCCACGAAGTCACTCGTGGTCTCAGAGCTGAGCGCAAAAGTGCCACAGGTGATACGAGGTATGGACACGGAGACGAGAGAGCACGAGCGTCCTAGGTGTTGCAAATAAGTATTGAAAAAAAAATCGCTTCAAACTAACTTTGCCATGTGAGATTAGCGACCGAAACCTCTGCACGGTGCAGAAATTCTACGATTTCAACACGTCACTTCTCGGGAGATCATGAAACAACATCGGATTTGGCTGAGGCGAGGACAAGTTGAGGAAGCTGAGGAGAGCCATCTTCACCGATGAAAGCAGCCAAGTTCCTCTTCGCCTCTCCCTTTACGCACAGGCGAGGTGAGGACGGAGAGCATCACATCAATGTAGAGAAAACACCAATGAGTCATCCGAGGTGTTGAGAGATCGCCAGCAGACGAGAGAAGCACAACTACATTTTTTTTTTAATTTTAAAAATTTCTTTTAAAAAGAAAGACACAAAAAAACAAAGCACACCATGGATGGAGAAGGAGGATCATCCGGGCTGGTCAAATCAGCCGCCGTTAAACTGTCCGAGATGGGCGAAAGAACCAAGCAGTTAGGCACCGCGATGAAGGATCCTCACCAGCAAAGACGGATCATATTAGTGATTGTTTGCGTGGCCCTGCTGCTGGACAATATGCTCTACATGGTAATCGTGCCAATTATTCCAGACTACCTTGCTGAGCTGGAGAGTGAGCAGTCAGAGCACGTCCACGTAGTGATGCACCCCAACAGTTCAGCCAACAGCACAAGCCAAGACAAAAGCATCAAGGACAATTTAGATGTCCAGATAGGAGTACTTTTTGCATCCAAAGCCATCCTGCAGCTGTTAGTTAACCCGCTGTCGGGAACTTTCATAGACCGGGTCGGATATGACCTTCCACTTTTAATTGGACTGACTGTTATGTTTGTGTCCACTTGCATATTTGCTTTCGGGGAGAACTATGCGACGCTCTTCGCGGCCAGAAGTTTGCAGGGTCTCGGGTCTGCTTTCGCGGACACCTCTGGGATCGCGATGATAGCTGACAAATACACGGAAGAGTCGGAGAGAAGCAAGGCGCTGGGCATCGCTCTGGCGTTTATCTCTTTCGGGAGTCTGGTGGCGCCTCCTTTCGGGGGCATCCTGTACGAGTTCGCGGGCAAGAGGGTGCCCTTCATCGTGCTCGCCTGCATTTGCCTGGCGGACGGCTTTCTGCTGCTGACAGTGATGAAGCCGTTCTCCAACAGGACTAGAGAGAACATGCCAGTCGGCACCCCCATGTACAAACTCATGATTGACCCGTACATAGCTGTGGTGGCAGGGGCGCTGACAGTGTGCAACATCCCCCTGGCCTTTCTAGAGCCCACCATAGCCAACTGGATGGAGACCACCATGCACTCCACTCAGTGGGAGATGGGGCTCACCTGGCTCCCAGCCTTCTTCCCTCATGTCCTCGGTGTGTACATAACAGTTAAATTGGCCGCGAAGCATCCACATTTGCAGTGGTTCTACGGAGCTTTAGGTATGGTTATCATAGGAGCGAGCTCCTGCACAGTCCCTGCATGCAAAACTTTTGGGCAGCTCATCGCCCCGTTGTGCGGCATTTGTTTTGGCATTGCGCTGGTAGACACCGCCCTGCTGCCGACACTTGCGTTTTTAGTTGACGTGCGTCATGTTTCAGTGTATGGTAGTGTTTATGCTATAGCGGATATTTCCTATTCTGTTGCATATGCTATGGGTCCTATAGTAGCCGGCCAGATAGTGCACAATCACGGGTTTGTACAACTTAATCTGGGTATGGGCCTCGTCAATGTGCTTTACGCACCAGCCCTGCTGCTGCTGCGCAACGTGTGCCAAATGAAACCGTCCTACTCGGAGAGAGATAACCTGTTAGAGGAGGCTCCGCAGGGGCTGTACGATACCATCAAGATGGAGGAGAGGAGAGCTAAAAAGAAGGGCTACAGCTCGGCAGGGAATTGTTTGCCAGTAGATGAAAATGGGTTCGACCCCTTCAGAGCACAGCGGTCCTTGTCAGAAGAGTCGTCCGGTCCGGAGTACACTTAGACCGGCCACACTCTGACCGCCCCCTCCCCCCCAAAGAAACATTCCCCTGGAGAGATTTGGAGATGAGGCAGGAAGGTCATAGTCTAGTAATTTAAAACTTTTATGTAAGTACCGATGTGCAATATAAACACCCAATCACCAAAATCATGATTGTGTGACACGTTTTCCAAAGTTTCTTTTTTTTTTCTTTTTGACTGTAATTTCATTGTGTCGAACAAGTCTATGTAGCGTTTGTCATGGACGTGTAACTGGAGTTTTGTGAGAGATTTATCAGCTACTGTTGAATTTGTGTGTATCACTCAGTGTTGTAAAATATATATAAATAGATTAATGTGCGTACAAGATTATATGGGACCAACTATAAGCAGCACATTTCTCCCCCTTACACAAAAATAGCCTATATTTTTAGTCTCTGAGGAAACTTTTTTTACTTGCACAACAAAGGCCTCATTTTCTTTTGTTGTTGTTAAAAAAAAATCGTGCGTTTCAATTTTGTAACAAGTGGGCCTGTTTGTTATTTACTTTTATGTATTTATTTGTTGTTGTTTGAAATTAAATGTATCATAATAAATGGATTTTGTACATATGTGGATATATGCACAATGTAAATTGTTAAAACGTGGACCTCTACAAAGTGTGTGTGTGTGTGTGTGTGTGTGTGTGTGTGTGTGTGTGTGTGTGTGTTGTGTGTGTGTGTGTGTGTGTGTGCGTGCGTGCGTGCGTGTGTGTGCGCGCGTGTAAGTATGAAACATTTTGTTAAGACGTAGCTAACGAAGTCAGTCTCCTTAAGATGAACAAGTATGTATTCATTTATCAATTGTCGTTTTAATAAATCTCTGTTTTGATCTGTGTGACGGCGGTGATTTCATTCTTATTTCAAGCTTCAAAAGAATAAAAGCAAAAAAAAAGGAATGAGGAACTATTATATATAATAATAATATAATGAATTTAGATTATAAAAAGTGATTCAAATTCCACAATAAAACACCATAGACAGACATCTCATTCAGATTTCATTATGAATAAAAGGTGGTGGTGGGGGGGTGACTATGAAACGTCCTGTGATTAATAAAAATAATGATTAATCCCACATGTTACGGCTCTCTCACGGTGCACAATCACGCACACACAGAAAGGACAGAGGGAGCGCACATTAGCCCTGCTATGAAAACAACAAAAAAACACATAAACGAATAAATCCAAGTGGGAAATAGTTTAGAAATTTGGCGCTACAGCTGCAAAACAGATTTATAAGTATAAGTATGAACTTATAAGTGCATCCCGTATTAAAGCCAGTCGGACAAACTCTGCAGAAAGACTTGAATCTGAACAGTGAACGCATCGTAACTGTCATATTTGTCGACCCGCAGGACCATCACAACACCTATGACTGACACACCAAAAAGCGACCCTCGCTCCTATTTATATATTAAAATTATTATCGGATGTGGGAAGGGGGGAGCAAGCTGTTAGATAATATGTTCCGCGAATAGATTTCGATGGGAGGAGTTTCTTGCCTCAAGGGGGTAGGTAGACGCAAACACCTTCAGCATCTTTTCCAAGGCGCGCTTTAATGTGGAGTCACAGGCGTATGGCGAAGCGAAGGGACGGGGGAGCAGCCCAGCGCCTACACAGAGCTTTACACTAATATGGGATTTCACGGTGTGGACGTGGGAGGCGATGTGAACTTCCACAGACTTCTCTGACCTCTCGAGTGGTACGCCGAGCAGGTAAGGATAACTTATTTTCTTTTCCAAGTAATAAAAAAGTGGGATATTGTGTTTGTTTAGAACTTATTATCGCCTCCCTGGCGCACAGCGAGGGAGATTATTCATCTTAAAAACTAATTTAAGCTACTTAAAAGTACACTTTGCTCTGAAAAGTCATTTCGAAAAGTTTTCTAGTCGTTTATCGTTTAACTTGTTTTCAATCAAACCAACAGGCACCCAGTGATACAGGATTTCTACAACGTTATATGTATTTTCGGCTTCGAGATATTTGCACTATTCTATTAAAATTCCTTTAAAAATTGAAACTGTACTGGAAAATAAATGCAAATTGTCTCCATTTATTGGCTATAACGTTCATTTCTTTTAGGAAAATGTAAGCTTTTAAGAGAGAAACAGAGATGGAATGAGTTTCTAAGATGCACATCTCTTTGCAGTGGTGAGCGATGAGGCGCAGCTGGAATTCAAGGACATCCAGCAAATTAAATTAGGCTGCAAAATGATGAATGGAAGCCTGCTGGTTCACTTTGAGACAGCACTATGTAGCTCCATTGCTTAATAGGCCTTATTTTATTTACTGTCTTTTTTTATTTTACTTTTCTGCTCTCTTTCCCAAATGTCCTAACATGCTTCGTGCAGGGAGGGCTGAACTCAGACCGCCTCTACAGGGTTTCCACATTATTTCCCCCTGACTGGACTGGAATTCAAAGATGCCAATCTTGGAGAAAGAGACGGCCAGAGACCGAGACAGCCAAGTATGAATCTTGTCATTGTTTCTATAGTGAAAGTGTTTTTCTTTGCATCATTCTGTATCTTCACTTTTTAGACGGTTTTAAATAGAGAGCGCTGTCGCTGTCCGTGGTGCTGAAGTTTCAGCACCACGGACAGCGGCAGCTTTACTTACGCTCACTGGCCGCTAGGGGTGAAAATGATGACAGGCCTTTCATCTTTTAGGGGTGTAAAACTTCATTCTAGACACTTACACAGTCAGTGGTAAAGGTACATTTACTCAAGTACTGTACTTCAGTTCAAATTCGAGGTATTTATACTGAGTATTTCTATTGTATGCAACTTTATTTTATCTATGACGACCCATTATTAATGAAGTCTATCTATCTATCTATCTATCTATCTATCTATCTATCTATCTATCTATCTATCTATCTATCTATCTATCTATCTATCTATCTATCTATCTATCTTTTTATTTATTCTTCAACTCCATCACATCACAAAGGCAAATATTGTACTTTTTAGTTCACTACATCTGTCTGAAAGTTTTAGTTACTGGTTACTTTTCAGATTACAAATTTGCAAGGTCTTCTTGTCCAGTGAAAACTATGTATCTCCAAATTTGGTGACTGTGAGTTTGATTCTTTCTGATAAATAGATGGATTAAGTGTTCCTTTTTGGGTATTATCTTTCTTCTCAAGATGAATAAACGTTTAAAAACCTCTTTTGGATTAGCAGAGCCAAAAGCAGGGCTGTGTTTTCTCATGAAAAGCTTGTGAAAAGTCGACTTTTTAGAGATACTTGGTTCTCATCATATATTTAGCGACGCTATGCAATGCAATTGTTGTAGATTATGCCAGTCATCATTATAATTACCTTTAACAACTACAGAAATTAAATGCAACATACACATTAATGCAACAGTAGTATTAATCAGTAACAGTAAATTACTGACAGTGACCAGTTTTTGCTAATTTTGCTGATAATACTCACTTACTTTCTAATGCAGTGTTTTCACAGTGTGATATTGCTACTCCTACTTAAGTAAAGGCTCTGACTACTTCTTCTGCCACTGGTATTTTTTTGTGAAATCATTTAATCAACATTGAGCCAGTGGTGGATATAATCCATCACTGGCTATAATGGAGTTTGCATTTTGTTTACTGTGTTTAATTGTTGCTGAATTAAATAAGTTTATTGTTTGTTTTTCCAGGATAACATTTTAATCCAATTAAATTCCATTCAATTCAATTTTATTTGTATAGCGCCAACAGAAGTTATCTCAGGACACTTTTCATATAGAGTAGGTCTAGACCGAACTCTTTATAACATTTTATACATATACTTACCAAAAATAAAAAAACATCTGCACAGTTCCTATTTCCACAGCTACACAGCTTATTTTATAATTCAGTGGTACTGGTCAATATTAACATGTTGGGTTAATAACAGTATCATTATGCAAATGAACATACATCAGACAGAAATCAATTTGCATTATCCATCCTTATCAAACAACAGAGTCCCACGAGGCTATGAGGCTTGAAAACACTTGAAGCATTTAGGATGAATTATTAAGTCAGGTTCTAATAATATAAGCATCAAGAAAAGATGTGAGGGAATTACCTCTTTAACTAATGAACCCTCAGTGAATTGGGGAAAGACATAAAAATGCTGAACAGCTGCTGTCCTTCCTGTCATTACACTTTATGAGTATTTATATCAATCTGTTGGTTTTTTTTTTACATCAGGTGTTGCCAAAGGTCCCTGTGCCACCACTGAAACAAACCCTCGACACATATTTGAAGTGCGTCCAACACTTGGTAAAGGAGGAGCAGTTTAAGAAAACAAAGGCCATCGTAGAGAAGTTTGGGGCTCCTGGAGGTGTCGGAGAAGTTCTACAAAAGAAACTCTTAGAGAGGAGGGACAAGACGACCAACTGGGTAAAATCTCAGCTCTAGAAGTTAAAAAAAAACACTCTCTTTTTGCTGTAGGGGCATGAACTGGCAAAGAGACGTAAAAAAAATCTCACGCAGCTTTCCCCTATATCAATAAAGATTTTCTTTTTGTTGTTGAGTGTTTCTCCTATGGAGCTTTGTTTATCATTATCATTATAAGTTAATTTGGGAAACTTAATACAGTTATTGCAAAATTTTAACCATTTATAATGCAGCATTTGCACTCAGCAACAGTTTTATGTTTTTTTTGTAATAATAAGGTATCAAACTTTGCATCTGATGTATTCAGTCTGAAAATAAGAATGAAAATTGCCATGGATTTTGACTGAAAGATGATACAGCTCTTTAAAAAATATATAACCTATTCATAAAAGAGTTGGAAAAAGTGAAACACCTGGTGATAAAGATTTATTGGAGTCTCTGCTTATCTTTTGTTGCTTCAATCTCTCCTCCTGCGTCTGGGTGATCGGTCAGTCCACAACTCATCCAGCTCAGTGAAATCTATCACGCTCCCACTCTCACGCCGACTCTCTCCCACTCTCCTTTTCATCTGGCAGTGATGCACTGTAATGGGTTTTTACTCCATTGCACACAGGTCTCAACTCTGAAAGTAATAACCTGAGTCCAAAATGCTTAAGCAACCAACATTTCTCAAAAACCGTCCCTGTGTTTTTATTCAGGTCTATGACTACTGGCTGGAGGACATGTACTTAAACAACAGGTTGGCCCTACCTGTCAACTCCAGTCCTGTCATGGTGTTTCCTAAGCAGACATTCAGAGATCATAAAGATGCCCTCAGGTATGTCCTGGACTTTGGGTTCGACTATTGTTCAAACTCTAAAGTGTTTGCATGAGCTCAGCATGCAATATGAAAAATATGTAACTGCAACAAAACATTTTCAGCATTGAGTTTAATAGCAGAAAATATTTTAGCCATGATAACTTCAGAGGTAAAAGTCAGGTTCTCGAGAATCGTATGCCATCAAGCTTATCAGTTCCTTTTATCAATTTTGGCATTTTTTTTGGACAGTTGCACATTGCATAACAATGATGTCAAACTCGTGTCTATACTGCTGGAAACTTGAACAAAGAGGGGGTAATGGCAGAGAGGAAAAACAGTCCGAAGCATAGCTTCATTTCACAGAAAAACTAAGGATGTAAGGTTATAAGGGAATTGACAAAGAATTGGACCAATAAACAGAATCTATAGTGATACTGGTATCTATAAAATCTTATCAAATCCCCTCCCTAGTCACTCAATCAAAGTGAAAGGGCTTCTTTCACCTAACAATTACTTGGTTATTGAAATAGTTGCAGATTCATTATCTGTTGATTGACTAACTGTTTCAGCTCTGTTGAAAACAATTTTTCTCCAACCTTGCTGTTATTCTGTACCTGCATTTAAAACCAACAAGCCGCACAGTCATGGCACATTCTCAAAGTCATTTCTGGAAATGTAGGAAACCTAAAACTTCCACTAAAAAGCAAATTACAATACTTCATATGACACAATAACTCCCAGAAAACACTGAACACCACAGATTGTTGGTTGCACATAGCTTGAAAGTGTCAAGTCTTCAAAGGCACTTGAAAACTAGAGAAAACATCCACTACACAAAGGTTTAGTTATCACTCTGCTGTGCAGCCACTGACAGGGTTTATGTTCTTCTCAGCACAGACACAGATTAAGATCTGAATTACAGACATGGAGAAAATCACTGGCATCATCTCTTGGGCAAATCTCTGACTGTTATTAAATGAGCCATGCTCCACCAGACATTACACCAGTCCATTCAGCCCCGTAACTCAACATTAGCTTTTGTCAGCTCGTGCCACACTAACTGAATATTTCCAGAGCACCCCGAAGCTGGTAATCTACTGACACAGACACTTATTAGATTGGGAGTGACAGGAACAAGCTCTCCACAGAGACTGCTAGTCAGGCCTCATTTACGGGTGTGGTGCACTGCGGCCGCCTCCTTTGTATTGATCTGACTTTAAACGTAATAACACCAAGACAAATGACGCACAGCATAAGACCTGGCAGGGCTCTGTGTTTTCCCTATTTGCCCACACCGCCCACTCACCCATACAGGCCGATTCTCTCTCTCTCTTTCTCACTAACATAGATAAACACACACACAGCTCGCCCACTGTATCCTAGTAATTTACCATAATGTGATTACTGTTAGTCCTCTGAGAGATGAGAGTATATCTAATTATAATCTGTTTGCTGTGTATGTGCAGTTGTTTTACGGCCAACTCTGCACCCTGTTTTATTTATTTCAAACTTCTCACTCTTTTAAGATTTGCTGCTCGTCTCATCAGAGGAGTGTTGGAGTATAAGGCTCTCATTGATGCGTAAGTTCAACCTGCAATGGATTACCTGTCGGCTTGCATGTCCTACACCTCATCTCCACAAAGTAAAGTCAGTGAATGTAAGATGAAAAATGAAATGAAGTATAGGTGTGTGAGTCCTCTCGGGTAATTTGATGTGTGTAATAATATCTCTCAGGCGAGCGCTGCCAGTGGACTTTGCTCGAGGCCAACTTGCTGGGACTCCTCTGTGCATGGAGCAGTACTATCGCCTCTTCACCTCCTACCGCTACCCAGGGCTAAAGACAGACGTGCTCAAGGTCCAGATGAACGCAGCCTCATCGGTGCCAGAGCACATCATTGTGGCGTGCAAGAACCAGGTCAGGACACTGGCCTTTGTGGATACTTTTCGCACCACATCACACTTCCCACTGAAGACTGTGTCCTGTCCATTTGAGGGAAAATATAAATGTAAATGTAAGGATGTTTTAATAGTGTATTCAGTTTAATGATAGATGCTGAAAGGTGAGAGTTTGTCAGTACCTCATATCAGACATAAACCAACTTGAATTGGTTTGGAGGTCTTTCTCTTACCTTTCTCTGAATTCACCATTACATGCAGCAATGCTGGCCTCCAGTGCAGATAAACTATCCCATCATCAGATTTCAAAGTATAGGATCTTTCTGAGCATCTAAACAGGCTATAACAGATGCCATCTTTGAATGTAAGGTGTTACAGATATAGGGGCTTGACCATTTGCATTCAACCTAAAAAGTCAAACCTCCACCCTACTCAACCTCATCTGTCATCTAAGGTTTGTTTTCCAGTAACAAACAGGAGGAAAATAGACCAGTTTATAAAATGCTTAATTACAAACATGCCTCAAAGGACTTTAAAGTGGGTGAGCTTGCGTACATTAAACAAATAAGCAGTTAATGATAAAAAAATATGACATACAGTTTGCAGAAGGGAGCAACAATAATGCAAGACACAAGATACTACACTGAAAAAGTAGCTCACCAACTGCCTCTTTATCATCTTACAGATGCTTTGTATACAGGGTAATATGACAATATAAGTGGGTAATCATTTGACTGATTTTATCAATAATTTACATTTCTAATTGGCTATGATATCCATGCCATGCATATGAGAGTATGCATGGCTGCATATTATAGTTTCAGACTAAAATACTCTGCCTTTATAAAATTGCAATGCATTAAGTTTCTAGGGAAGTTAATCTTTCTATTTGAATATTTAAAATAACACTTTGCAATGGTCATGTTTGCATCTTATCTTCCTTTCTGAGCTACAGCAAAGCCTCATGAAAGCAGCAGGAGTTGAGAGAGAGAGAGAGTAGTCATATTTCACAATTCAACCAGACTCTACCAGCATCCTTGTAAACTTTAACTGGAAGATTTTCTAATTATGCAAGACGTTTTTTTAATCAAATTTAGTATGGTGGAAGCTAAATGTCGTGCTGCCATATGTGGATCATATCAACAGTTGTTCTTCAGTCACGACTGAGCAAGTTTCAACACCAAAAACTTAAAAAGTAAGAAGACATACAAGTGTACCTCTGGTCTGAATATAGTTGCTATCCTTACTGACCAAATCAGTCAAAATATTAAATACAGTTTTATTAATTTGGCACAGCAAGGATAAAGATTTTAGGTAATTGGTGACCATATATATTTTTAAAATACATTCATATACATTACATGGTCCTAGTCACACATGGAAAATGTGCATTTTCTGTGTTTCTCAACTAATGGTTAAAGTAAAAACTAAAGGTTTTAATCCAGTGGTTACAAATTAAGTGGTTGTCTAGTTGAGTTTTGTGTGAGTTTATTTCTGTAAGAGCGCACTAGCCCACTCCTGCAATCCCCTGTACCAAGCCATCCTTCCTCCAATCTGTCAATTTCCCAGAAATCCTAGGTAGAGTTTCCCATAAATACATAAAACAACCACTGCCAACATCTGCAGGTCCAAGGCTACTATTTTAGATTGTGACTTTAAATTACCACAGAAAAGGGCACAGTAGGCGCTTTAACATGGAAATGGTTCTGGGCACTATCAATCTGCAGCACATAAGGGCCTGTCCCCATGGAGATACAGACCGTTAACTCAATTACTGTTGATTAAATCTGCCGCTTCCTTGAATCACATGTTTAACTGATTGAAGTAGGGAAGCCATATATACAGCATTCCCTGTACTATTATTGCCAGTGTCCTAATTATCTCAGCTGTTTATACGCTGTACCACAGTAGCAATAAACTCTAAAAATACTGTTAGCAGACAAGAACACAGTTTGAAAAAAGTATTTCCTATTGAAACTGCACCAGGTGATAAAGTGGAATAGTTAAGAAACCCACGATTTCTATCATGTTTTTCTCACTAGTTTTTCGTGTTGGATGTAGTCGTGAATAGCAAGCAGCTCAATGAGACGGAGATCTTATCCCAGCTGGAGAAAATCACGAAAATGGCTGAAAACGCTGAAGAGAGACTTCCTCCTGTTGGTATCCTGACCTCTGATGGGAGAACAGAATGGGCACAAGCCAGAGATGCACTAATAAAAGGTTTCAGCTCAAATGTTTCTCCAACTCTTTCAGAAGTTTTAAACAACTGTAAACAAGTTTCAGACAAATTAACCAAGATATATTTCCTCTACTTCTCTATCCAGATCAAACCAACAGAGACTCTCTGGCTCTGATTGAGAGCTGTATGTGTGTGGTGTGTCTGGATGAGCCCAGTGGCCTGGAGCCTAGGGATACCACCAGGGCCCTGCTTATGCTGCATGGTGGCGGACGTGAGAAGAATGGGGCAAACCGCTGGTATGACAAGTCAATGCAGGTAGGACTACGTACGAGGCACTTCAAATCCTCCATGGATGTAGATTTTGGTCTATTAGCTAATCCACCTTTCCTCAGTTTGTTGTAGGAATGGACGGGGTATGTGGAGTCGTGTGCGACCACTCGCCATTTGAGGGAATTGTTCTGGTGCAGTGTTCTGAATACGTGATGAAATACATGTAAGTCAGTCACTGAATATTGTTGTCTCAATGCATGTTGCTGAGGTCAACAGTGAAGGAAGTGGTGTTGTTGTCCTGAACAGAACAGGGAGTCCATCTAAAATGGCGAGAGCGTCCAGCATCAGAGAGCTTCCCCCTCCAAGAAGGCTGCTCTGGAAGTTTAACCCACACATCCAAGGACACTTAGCAGCCGCCGGAGACAGATTGCAGAGGCAAGACCAACACAAACTAACACAAAACCATATCAGGTAAGTCTTTGTATAGACATTGGGTCTCATGTCTTCTGTGCTTTTTCCTTCAGGCTGGTGAATAACCTTGACATGGATGTTTTCAAGTTCAAGGTTTATGGGAAAGAATTCATCAAAAAACAAAAGATGAGTCCAGATGCGTTCATACAAGTTGCCTTACAACTTGCATTTTTCAAGTAAAGTCCTTTCATAATCTACATCTTCAAATTTTATTAAATAAATCTTAATATGATTATATCTATGATATTTCAAATATGCTGATATATTGCCGTGATCCTGTCCGTCATATACTCAGATGCAGTGGAAGGCTCGTGTCCACTTATGAGAGTGCATCCATTCGGCGTTTCCAAGAAGGTCGGGTTGATAACATTCGCTCTGCCACCCCTGAGGCCCTGGCCTTTGTGAAGTCCATGACAGATGAGAGGGCCACTTTCACCGTGAGTCATTTTTCTCACTTTGATCCCCAATTACTGAGTAACTCCCACATTACTGTTCATCACACCTGCTTAAATGAAACAGGTGCAACCCAGCCGCCTGGGCACGCCAATCCCCATTCAAACAGAAGAGCCCCCTGCAGATTTAATGGGTCTATGAAAAGTAAATTTACTGGCTGTATGGTTCTCTTTTTCTACTATGTGAAAAATGCCTTCTATTTACTTTTTTCTCTAAATCATTTTTCAATTTTTCAACAGGATTCAGAAAAAATGAAGCGATTGAGGGATGCAATTAATGCCCAGACAAATTATACAATTGCAGTAAGTATTTTAAACCAGTTATATATATATATATATATATGGTTTTGACAGCCAGAATTTAAATGTGTAAACATGATGTCGTTCCACCCAGATGGTAGGAATAGTACACTTACTCGCTTTAGATGGAAAGATTGAAACCACAGTTAGCTTAGTACAGAGAATGGAAGAATAGGGAAACAGCTAGGCTTCTAGCACCTATAAAGTTCTCTAATTATCACACTATGTGTTATGTTGTTTGTTTGACCATCCTTAAACTAAGGAGAACACATATCCATTTGTTGTTTGTGGACTACTTCTTACTACTTTTTAATCCAAATCATGATTTGGATTAAAATAAGTAGTTTAGTTATGACTGTGCCCTCAATGTGAAGTCGCAAGGCAACCAGAGGAAACTCCGGGAAGAGACAGAGTCAGGCTAGATGTTTCCCCACTTCCAGTCTTTTTTGTTAAACTAAGCTAACTGTTTCTTGGCTGGAGTTTCGTATTTAGGGCATATATATGAGAGCAGTATTGGTCATCTCATCTAAGTGTCAGGAAGAAAGCGAATAAGCGCATTCCTTAAAATGGTTAAGCAAAGTTTGTTTGATCATCCTTCACAGAGGGCAGCAGCTGCAGTCGAAGGTTGAATTTATATTTGTTACAAAATTAAGTGATGACCATTTTTAATGGCATACTTGAATTTCCCTCGGGATAAATAAAGTATCTATCTATCTATCTATCTATCTATCTATCTATCTATCTATCTATCTATCTATCTATCTATCTATCTATCTATCTATCTATCTATCTACATAAATACACACACACACACACACACACACACACATATATATATATATATATATATATATTTGATGGGGTTTTACTTAAAGAAGATGGGCTATCATTCAAAATCTTCAAGTCCACGTGGTTTGTGGTAAAACTCTAACCCAGGTGGTTGAAAAAGTACTGTGCACAAAACATGAACTGCGCCTGGAAATTACTTCTGTGCTTATATTGAGGTCCTAAATAACACTAAGCAAAAAAAAATATCTTTCAGGCTATTACAGGAATGGCAATAGACAATCATCTCCTCGGGCTTCTGAGGATCGCAAAGGAGCTCAACATGGAGAAACCAGAGATCTTCTGTGATGAGACATATTTGGCCAGTAACCAGTTCATCCTTTCTACTAGTCAGGTAACAAGTATCCTATTCTATTCTATACTCTATTCTACATATAACGCTTTCTCACAATAAATTATTTCTTTAAAGTCAGTACAGTATATTTATACATATAAATCTCCAGCACCCCACAACATCAAGTTCTGCCTTAGGACATATTTATACATATAAATCTCCAGCTCCCCACAACATCAAGTTCTGCCTTAGGACAGGTGCTTGAATGAAGCAGGAAGAGGAATTCTTTCATAGGGATGAAAAGAGGAATATGAACTGGCTCTATCAGCTGATGAAGATAGAGAATACAGAGGAAACACTGTTACTGGTGTGATAATATTATGCTGTTTTGCATATAACCTAACTTCCTTATCTTCAGTCACTTCAGGAACTGAAACTGCAAAAGTGCACTTGCAACACAACAAAACTTTACAAAATAAAGACTAATTAAAAAATATTTAGTTTATGCTGGTGTTTGGGAGCCACAGTCAGGGCTCTGTGCTTCCTGTTAGTATTTTTAATTGGAGACCCTGTCAGACTCATCTACCGCCCCCGGCACTGAGTTTATTCTCTTAGACCATCTGTATGTACCTTTAGCTGACAGCACTTGAACCCCACATGTAAAATAATAATATTTTTTTACTAATATAAATTGCTTAAGGCATATAAATAAATGATATGGAGTACATATACTGACTACACTATACATTCACAGAACCTGACAGCTGCATTGTTATACGACTGACTGACAAGTGATTGTACAAGTACATGAAATGGTTATGATATGACTAAAACTTTGGTTCACTTTTCCAATTTTTGGTAGCAAAACAAAGAGCATCTGAATCAACTGAAAGATTTTTACCGTGTAACACCTGCAGTGTGTAAACAGTAGTCGATGCATGTGTTGGGATTTAAACGCATATCAGAGTATTAAAACTATTTGGCTATTGGGTAGAAAGTTTAGAAAACTTAGAGCTTAGTTAATTAATTAAATTTATCTTTTAGGTAAAGAACAAAGTCCAACCATTTGTTGCTTTCAACTGGTAAAATGTGGGAATTTGATCATGTTTCTGTTTTATATAATTGCAAACACAATATCTTTGTGTTTTGGACTACTATGAAGATGTCACCTTGGGCTCTGGGAACTTGTAATGAGCATTTGTTTGTGTCTTTATTTTCTGGCAGTTTATAGATAGAAATGATTAATCAAAAAAAGAATCAATAGATAAAGCAATAATAGAAATTGTTAGCTGTAGCACTTTTCTGATTCATTTTTCTCAAATTCTAGCTCCTTCTCTTGACTGGCTAAACTGGTCTAACCCAGACTGTCTCCTCTTGTATCCAGGTCCCTACCACAGTAGAAATGTTCTGTTGCTACGGCCCGGTGGTGCCCAATGGCTATGGCGCCTGTTACAACCCGCAGTCAGACCACATCATCTTCTGTGTGTCTAGTTTCTGGGAGAACACAGGGACGAGCTCGGCCGTATTCGTCAAAGTCCTGAACGAGGGCCTGCTGGAAATCAGGGACCTGTGCAATAGAGGCAGCGCTGCAGCTACCAAACTGGCTGATTGCAGCCAGGGAGCCGGCCAGCCTCATAAATCAGGGAAGTAAGCCATACTGAGGAAGCACGCCTACTCAGCTGCTTCACTCAACACTCTTAGACTTAGACTTTAGCTTTAGACTCAGTAGTTGAGAGGCCTTCGTGTGTCTTTGTTGTCTGTGCAATAGTGTTCCTTTAACAACAAAATACAAAGCCTTAAAGTTCATAAACAGTATGTAAATATTAAAAAATGTGAATGAAAACTGGAAAACAGTTTTCTTTGGATGTGTGTGTAGACATTAGAATGATTTCGGGTCCAACATTGATCCCGCTTGACTCAGTAGACTGAGAGTAACTGGTCTGCTGCCTTTAGGAAACTGAAGCCATGCCCGCTTTGTAGCACTGATGTGATAGGGAAACTATCCTCTATCAGAGAGTGAACTGAGTGATCCCAATGTACATAGAGTAGTAACGTAATAGACATGACAGGATTCTGTAAAAAAAATAAAATCAAACACTATATTTAAGTGACTTATAACAATTATGACATCCTGTAAATGTGATCCTGCCAACCTGTTTCACTTTGTGTGTTCAATAGACTGGATACTATAAAAACAATTTTAATGTGCTAAAGTTATTTTTTACTCTTCAGCAGTTATGTGCAATTTTTGATTCCACTGACACCATAAGGTTGCCAAAGAGGTTGTGTGTATGTAAAGTCTGTCTGATGAGGCACTTTAAGATATTTACATAAAGATATGAATGAATAACTGAACAGTAAATGTAGAGGACTGATTATAAGTAATGTGTTTAAAGGGAAAACATATGTGATATGGTTTCAGTGGCACATTTGAAATCATCTAGTTGTACTGTATGTATGTGTTCTATATTATAGCAATAGTTAATAAGTGTATTGAGTGCTACTTTATAAGAAAAATACAGTCCAGTGGTCACTGAGGCAAACCACTGTGTTCATGTGATTTTTATTTGCACTTAGAGGTAGAATAAGGGTAGGGATGTATTGTCATAGTGTAATTTGTGCAATAGTAAAATGGCAAGTGAAGTGAGGGTATATGTGCAATTTACCAAATCAATATTAGATGCATGAAGCTTATTTAATATTAAATTAACTATAGTTGCTATTTTTGATATTCAAAGATACCGGATAATATCTGTAACATTAGAATAAATTGGCAATCTGCTGTTTTGGTCCAAAATATTGATTCAAAGTGTGCTGTGGATCCTTTTAAAAAGTATATTTGTATCAGTCTTGTTTCAATCTGTCATGTTACATCAAATCAAATCAGTGGTGAAAATGTGAGGATATTTGTTGTCCTGTGTCCAGATGACACTTGTTTGTTATGTATCTATCATCAGCCAAAGTGAATGTGAACCATGTAGATCAAGAAAAGACTATAAGCGACAGACATGCATGTTTATTCTTACATACTAACTGTATTTTTATACTGTATGTTCACATGAAAAGCTTATATAATGATATATTAAAATGTGGTAAAGGGTACACATAAGTAACAAAAATGCCTTAAAATAAAGTGATGCAAACTGTTTTCCATCATTCCTGTCGGATGTGATATTCTGTAAGTGTTTTACCTCTGATGTTAATTTGATCGGTTTGTACTTGGTGTTTGCTGTCTAATGTCAGTGATACATGTAAAAGAATGTAATACTTGTTATGTGTTTTTCAGTGAGTTTTCTCTTTGTCTCATTCATAAAATGTAACTAATAATCCCTGTGAGTAAATCAGGCTGTTATATCTACAGTATTGTCCCAGAGTATAGTAATAATATGGCCTGATAAATTAACGTTACACTCATCCATGAAAACGTTTGTGCGAGTGGTAATTAATGTGTAACACTTTATTGATAGGGAAAATATAGTATTTTATTAAGTCGTTAAATATTCAATGAATGTTCAGTAAAAACTCATATGTTTCTCATTATGAAAAAGAAAACAAAAAGGCTTATTTATTTTTTTAGGCTACAATAATATTTTGTTGATTTAAATTGTAATGAAACTGTGGTGTAGCAAAAACTAATATTCAACTCCATAAATAAATAAACCTCAAACAATGATATCTAATTGTGTCAGTGTTTTCTGTTAAAGCTGAAGCCTTGTCGGGCTAATTAAGTTATTTTGGTGGCACAGTATGGTACAATGGCCAAAGAAAAATGAGGCCATCACAGTAAAAGTCAAATGTTGTGTAGCTTTTGGGGTGGGTAGATTTTTTTTGGTATGATGTTTTACAGCACACAGCATCAAGTAAAACAGAACAAATACAGTACAGCCTGAAGGCACCGTGCAACCTTCCAGAATTTAGTTACTTCTGAATTCCACATTATCTAATATTGCTGCAATTAATACAACCTCTCTTTTATGTTGCTGTGCTCCAAATAAGAATGGATACTAACTTTTAAAAGTCTACTAATTTTGTCACTGTTTCAGTGTAACTAAACTTTGAAAGACACTCGGAACCTTGTTAGAATTAGTATGTAGTATGGTCTTGGGATGCAGCTTATTACTTCAATTCCTTGATGCAGGTATGATTTTTATGCAATGTTACCTCAGTGTGAAAAGTCATATGAGAATTCCTTTGACTTTTACATCACTCTAGATCTACATCCATCATGCAGGTCATTTCAGGACTGTGACTCGTTCACACTGGAATCTGATATGGGCAACATTTACCAAATAATGTGAACAGATCTGAGCAAAAACTCTAAACTGAGTGCTATGGCTTGCAGTGTGAATGTAGCCTTAGATTCCATAGTGACAATCTTCAGATGTTGAGGGCCAATTCAATTACAGATGTTGCTCACTTGACAATATCTCAATAAAATGGCAGGCTACCTATAAACAGCTGAAGATCCCATGAGGTGATATGTCACGTTTTGTTTAATCTCTGGTCCAAATGCCTGGCATTGATCAATTCTGGTTTAATTTAATTGTTTATATCTTTAATGCTTGTTAACACTGGAGTAAAACAGTTTGTAATTCTGGCATTGTTACATACTGAACTAGGATATTATAAACACAAGAACAAATCCACTAACTTTAATTGTTTTGACAAATAATACTAAGCTAACATGGCTATGAAGTAAACCCTAATCATGATCATCAGTCTTAAGTACAACTGCAATTAGAGAAACAACTGAACTCATTTGCATTGAGTTGTCTGTTTGCAGTATGGCCACTTCACTAACACACTCCCAACAGATGGCCTCTTTTCACTGGCATCTGATAAGGTCTTTGGGGAGAGACCCGAATTTAATTCTCCATTGGTTAAACTACTGAACCAGGTCGACCAAGTGCCCAAAAAACATTAAACATTTAGTCAAGCTTCCATGACCTGGTCCACTTAAATATGGAATACAAATTGGGATGAAAATAAATCATGTAAGCTCCTATGTATTAAATAGTTCAGTGTGTTAGTAGTAACAAGCACTAAACTGTCCAGTTCCAAGATATTGCTTCTCTTTGTCTCTGTATTTAGTGGCTAATATCGTTTATCCTTCTGAAGTCATGTTAAACTTTTTGCCGAACACCCCAGTGTTTTTTTGCCAGAGCCCCCTGCATTGGCTCTATTCAAATAAATGAGAGGACCATATTGAACATGGCCTTCACCCTAACCCTACAGAATCAAAGAAAGATTCATCCCATTTCACTGCATTAGTCCTTGCTAACTAACTGAAAAAGAACATAGATGTAATTTCTCCTATTGAGTGACGTCATCTGAACTCACCGTCATTCGAGGATGATTATCGGACAGTAATATCTCATGTTTCATAACCCTCTGTGCGTCATTCTGGACAAACAGAAGAAAAGGCTGAATTTAGGTATTGAAGACCACAGTGGGGAAAATCTGTCACACTGCTGTGCAAGTCACCTCACTCTTCTAATGCCGGCTGTCCAACCACGAGTCTATTGACTGAACATTAAGCTGGGTAATCTAAAGCGAGTGCTGCCGGCGACCAGAGCTTTCACTGTGTGAGGAGCAGCTAGTGACAAGCCTTGGCGTTGAGATCAATGGCGGAAGCCCACCTGGAGATGGATGATGGGAGTACATTACCACTAATAAGTGTTTGCCACGCTGCAGACGGAGACAGAGCCTTACCTGCTGGCTGCTATCGACTCGAGAGGGGAGCAGAGGGGAGCAGAGCTGTCCATCCAGATTCCCTCCTCCCTGCTTAGGGGCCTGACAGAGTCCAAGAGAAATTAAAAGCCACTGAGGCTGGGTTTCTACCTCAACTAAAAATGACAAAAGCAAAGCAGGGGTAGTGTCTATGCAAGTTAAGGACCCTCATACATAGGAACTTTCCCCTCAGTAGGTAGGATGCCTAAGTAGGGTGAGTTACAAGGAGATCCACCACATTGAAGTTAACCTCAAGAGGAATGGGTATTGAGTTTGAAAATCAGGAAATATGGAAACAGCAAATATCTTTAAACAACGACAATAGTTATTAAAAGAGCACACATGGCATCAATAAGTAGTTTCCTGTCTTTACAGCTGACCAGTGGACATGGTCCAAAAAACCACAAGCATGTCAGCTCTCACAAATTACGTCATGTGCCGTGATCACTAATCAGCGTGTGGTCGTAATGAGCCTCTGTAATTGAAGATGTGCACATGAATCAAAGATAACAGCTACAAGATTACAATCTGACTCCATTCCAGCCAATTAGTTACACTGAACCTGTCATCCAAATGCATTCCCCACACTGTTAATATATTAGGTAATTCGGAAGCCATGAGCAATGATGAAGTCATCTTTGCAAGTGAAACTGAGCTTGACATTTTTCCTCCAAAATGGAACAGAGAAAAGATGCCCCATTGTCTTGTGTTTCAGATATTGACATTTAAGCGGATTTTCAAAGACAGTACCACTGCCATTCTTACAATCTTTCAATTAAGGCTGAGTTTACATTATAGCTGTCTGTTTTCACTCACGAAAGAATTCTGATAATGGCCATTCTGGCATTTATGAGGAAACTGCTCCCAGGGCAGAAGCTACATTTACACACCATCTTGGACGCCTAATTGGGCAAGAAGTGAAGCCCCATTAAAAAATAAGCCGCAATATAGTATATGCCAAGAGCTGAAACGAAGTACTTCCATTGAGCCTGTCCCATTTAAGTTAGATGTAGTTAAAAGCACTGATTTGGCTTTGACAGAATCCTGTGCATTTTAGCATCATATAGTGACTGAGTGGCTTCCATCATTGCTTTTTAAACAGGGAACGAGTTAGAATTAAGAGGTATGTGCAATTATTTTCTATTACATAAAAGAAGAATAGCCAAAATAGAAAGACTGCAGTAGAATAACATCATAGGCACTGCAATTATTCTCGACTATAGTAATATTAAAATGACTGCAGTCATAATCGCACATTGTTGCATATCAGAATCGCCAACTTCAAGCTCTTCACTTCAGCAGCTGTCAACAGTTTCTTTCAGCTGTTTTGATACCTTATAATGAGGCTCTGCTGGATGACAACATGACACCTATTCATCTAAAGGTAGACTGCTTCTAATTTCTTTTCCTATTTACTCTCTGTTCAGTGCAGGTACTTGTTCTCTCATGGTTTCTAAACAACAATCCATCCCCAGGCTGCATATCAGAAGTAACACAAGCTACGCTACTGTAAACGTAGTACCTAAACAGTGTTGGCAACGTATGATTCATTTTGTGAATGGAAGATCAATAACCAATTTGAAGATGACCCGGTGGAGAGGATCCAGATTGCGGGGCTGTGCTTCAGTGTGCAGCGTAAATCTCGGGTGGTGGATGTGCGTCTTGGCCTGCCACAGCTCCTACTCTGTGGAATGATTTATGCCTCGGTCCTGCAACGTGTCCTGTAGCGGTTGGGCTCTCACCGAATGGCCAGAGCTAATTTGAGTGGTCTAAGTGAAAAAGGTTGCTGAATGAAAAGTGGGGATGTTAAGCCAAAGGGTCAGGGTGTTATAGTTAGAGAAAGTGCAAAAAGTAATGATTGGTGTGGAGGACAAATATCTCAACAGTCATTAATCATTAGCTTTATCATCATAATCATTATCATAAGCACACTCTTCAGTTCGCAGCAGTATATTTTCCTCGACTTCTCTCAAGCATGCACATACACTTACTAGATCTGACCAGAGATAAACAAAGGGCAAAAGCAGGGACAAAGTGAGAGTTCATAACTGGATGTGAGTAGAGAAGGTAAATGGTTGTGCCAGGCCATCATCTTAAGACCAGAGTCAATCATCCACAAAAGCACTGCAAAGAGACAATCACTTAAATGTTCTCTTCACATCGGAGTAACAACCGTTCGTCTGCCTGCATGGCCTCCCAGTTCAGCATGAGAGCAGCTCTGAGAGTCGGTTGCATAAATGCCAAATATGAATGGATCTAAGACGACAGGAGGGAGAAAAGTTAGATGGAAGGAACTCATTAGGAGAGCTGCACTCTCCTCACAAACCCCATCTCGGTAATGCAGAGAAATTTGTGAACGGGCCATGAGTTCTGAAGGATATATCATAATGCATGACAAGTGAAAACAACCACCAGGCAGCTAATAGCTATACTGTCATGAGGGCAAATAAAAAGGCATGACTTTGCATGCATGTTGGCTTTGTGGCTGTGGTCATGTGAAACACACACTTTACAAAAGGCAATTCCCTCACTCCCTAAGTTCCCCCGACAGATCGGCTCCGCTGCCAGGCCAGATGTGAGATGGAGGGATTGTTGGTGTTAGGAAAAAGGGGTTGACTGAGGAGAAAAAGGAGTAAAAAAAAAAGGTGTGCTTCATTAAGTGCTCAGCTCCCAAGTGACCATCTGTCCCAGTAGCTTTGTCCCTGTGGAGCAGAGCTGTGTGGGGTGGAGAGGAGATGAACAGAGGCCTGCAGTGAGTAGCAGCAGCATCCTCCAGCCCACAGCTGCCAGTGGCTCCATCACTCTCAGGACTCCAGTAACTAAACCACACACCATGGAGCAGTGCCCGCTTCCTGACTCCGCCAATTACAGTGACCCATTAAGAAGAACAAACGCAGCTTCAACAGATGGGAGAACAGAGGTGTGTTCATTCGCTTGTTTGGTAA